GGTGTAATAGCAATCACTGACTCCACAGAGTGATGTGCCCAGAGCAAAAACACACCCAGGAGAAAGCGAAATGTGTAAGAAAGAATTTATTTCAAAATACCAGGTTGAGATATTACCCTATATTTCTTAGAACCCCAGAATGGGAGCATGGGCATGAGAGTGCAGGCACCCCCTCCATCGTGCCCGCCATTTCTAGCAGTGCAGAGATCCTGCTCGCCCAGGCACTGAGCTCAGGGACGGTAACAGACATATTCATGCCGGGGCCAATTAGCAGTTTTCACCTGGCTGGCTGCCACTGAGAGATATTTGGGTATTTCTCAAGTGCCATGAAGTGCCCGGAGAAGGACAATGGGAAAAGTCTGGAGCGGGGCAGGGGGGCTGCAAGAGCTGCATCTCTTGGCTCCGGCCACACACCACGAGTCAGGGTTACAAAACAGGAATACCGTGTGTCGCGTACCGAGGGGTGGTGTCACCAGCTTTGCTGGCTACAGTTATACGACCTGAACCCAGCAGGGTATTTCACCTCCTGCCCTGTGGTGCTGGGGAGCAGTACACAGTACCGGCTGGGCTCATCCCACCTCTGCCCCCGCCTGCCCGGGCATTCCCGACCCTTTCTTTCCATCCCTAGCATCACACCAACTGTCTAAAGGGAAAAAAAGCCTTGCTTAAGACCTGCTGCTTTTTCCACGATGAAGCAGCTAAAGCAGAAACAGCAATTATCTGGTTCAGTCTGGTGCTGCTGGCCTGGAACATGCCATGACAACGTGTTTCTTGTTTCAAAGCCTCTTTTGTACTAGGACACAGTTCAAGGGATCTTGCAATGCCTGCATTTGTAAACACGCGGCACTTGCAGCTACACGCTTTGCAGATGAAAGCCAGGGCAGAGCAGAAGGGCACTTCTCCCCGCCGTGGCCGTGTCACGGCCGGGGGGAGCGCTCCCCCTCGGCTCGCTCTCAGTGTCTGCAGGCGGACGTGCTGATTCAGGGACTCGGGAGCCCTGGGGCTGGTTAACCATGCGTGGTCCTCAAAAGTCACGGCACGTTCAGAAAAATGGAGTCCTGGAAAAGGGAAAAAAAAAAAAAAAAAAATCACAGCAAAAAATGTGCGTCACTGCAGATTATTTTAGGCCCTGGTCCATGCATAATGCAAATAAGCAGCTCCCGGGGTACATGCCTGTAAAAACCATCCAGTCCCATAGCACTCGGTTATAGGAGCTTTCCAAACAGGTGGTGAAAAGCTAAAATTATGTGTCTCTGTGTCCTCAGCGGGGTTAGGAAGGGCCCTTGCCTTCAGGAAGGCTCTTATCCTACCTCCACAGGGCTGCTATAAAACGGGACTGAGACATTAGAAAATTCAAGAGCATTTCTTTCCTTTTGAGGCAATCCTGCGCTCGCATTCACCAAACCACCCTCAGCATCTCCACCATCTCCTCTGATCCACTCCAAACCGGGCTGCCTCCTCGTACTCGCTTTTCACGCACCCTGGCTTTGTTTTTTTGCCTTTTCTAAAAAATCATTGTATCCTCCTTGCCTTACTTCAAGGAGTCGCTCGGGAAGCCCTATTTATGGGTTGAAATGCTGCTGAAAGAGTTATTGCCATGTTATTCAGCTGTTGTGCCAAGCCTGCATGGGGATCGGGTTTCTGCTGAAAGGGTGCCAGGCACGTCTTTTTCCAGGAACCAGCAGCCGTATTTAGCCTCCGGCTGCACATGAAAGACTGCAGTCGGAAACGTGACATTGTGTCAACATTTGAGGCAGGTCAGAGCTGGGTGAGACCATGAAAACAAGTCCGGGGAACTCAGCACACCCCGCCGCACGGGCTGCCACGGCCTGGCGCCATGCCGGGGGTCGGCCGCCCCGTCCCCGGCCTCCCTCGGCCGCCCGTTGCCCCCTCACCGCCTGGCTCTGCCGGGGGCAGGGGGCTGCCCGCGCTCCGGCCCGGGGTGACGAGGGCCACCGGACCCTGCTCGGCCCTGCAGAACTCACCTGTCCCGCTGGCGCCTGGCCAGGGCGGCGGAGAAAATCCCCAGCCCGTCACTAGCCTTCGCTTCCAGGATAAACCTTATCTCTTCCACGATTATTTTTTTTTTTTTATTTTACAATTTTTTTTTCATCCTTGACTGAGATCTGGAGCTTCTGTGAGTCCTCCCACCGTACGACAAGGTGGGTCAGAAGATGGAGACCGAAGGGGAGTAAGAGCCATGAGAACGAGCCAGAAATCCAGCCATTAACGAGGCTTTAAACACCGCTGTGCTGAGCACCGCACGTTGGCCCCAAAAGGGGGCTACTTACAATCTTCAGTGAGATCAATATTTAGCCCTAATTAGAACAAATATGACATAAACATCAGGAGGTATGGAGACCCCAAATAAATTAATACGAGCAGGCCCGTGTTTCTTCCTAGCATTACTTAAGCTAACGTTACTTTAACCCTGAGCATAGTCTGACAGCAGTCCCCAGGCACCTGCTTCTCCCCTAGCTGGGTCCCAGAGGTGCTGCAGCCCAGGACTGAGCATTTAACCTCTTATTATATTTTGCAATTTATCTGCATCGTGAAAACCTGAAATATCCCGCAGAAGTGCCCGTGCCCCATCCACGCGTAGGCGATGCTGCGGGAAACCGAGTCCCCCCACCCGTCCCGCACAGGCCAGAGCCGCGCTTGGCCCAGCTTATGCCCTGGGGGAGAGGTTTGGGGTCCCCTCTGTTTTTCATGGAGGCCAGAAAGCGTGCCCCGTTGCTGGAGGGGCAGGGAAGGAGCCCACAGTCAGAGCGTGTGATGATCCCCCCTGGCCTGCTTTGCAACAGCCTGAGCAAGAGGCACCAGGCTGCTCGCTACCGCCCACAGCGCCGGCTCCGAGTCCCAAACCCGTGACAGAAGCACGGCAGCGGGGTGGCTCAGGTCTGCTCCCGGAGCGGGCCCTGCCGCGGGCGCTTGGCGGCTGTCCCTCCCCGCTGAGCAGGCCCACCACGGAGGCACCCAGGGCTTCTTTCCCTGGCAGAGGTGGCTTGGGAAGGGGAAATTGTCAGCAGAGCCCTGGGGCCACCCCACGCCTCACGCCCCTTGCGCCCCTTGGCCTCGAGCGGAGGGCGGCACCGTGCCCGGGCAGGCCTGTGGTGCAGAAGTGGCGGTTTGGTGAGGCTCAGGGACACCGGCAAAGCAAAACCAACCTAAAAAGCCCGTTTTTCTTTCAGGTAGAAGAGGAATCCTCCATGGCAAGGGACTGCCACTTCCCCACCGAGCTCAGGGCGGACAAGCCAAAAATCCAGGCCCAGGGAGTGCAAAGTGACACAAGGAGAAAGCAGAAAAGCCAGCCGGGGTATCCCAGCACCTCTCTTGGATCGGGAAAAAGAATCCCCGAAGGTGCCAAGGGTGTTAAAATAAATAAATATCCCTGGGGAGACGGGTAATGGGACCCTGACCTGCCTCAGGGCAGCGGCACAGGAGCCCCATTCCTCCCCTCGCCCCATCGCAGCTGGATCGGACCACACGAAATGACCCTGCTCCAACATTTAAAAGCACAGGAGGCAAACCCTTATCTTCCACAGGAAAAGAATTATTTTATTAAGTATTTTTAAACAACTACTTAACATTTACTCAAGATAAAAATATGTACAATATCCCACCTTGAAGAAGGCTCCAAAATATAAACACTGTACCTCTCCCTAGAGAAAAACAAAAAATTCTTCTCTTCAAAAAAACAAAAGACAACCCAGAAACAAGAATACATTCATATTTTCACTTCTTTATGCTCAAGTAGTTATACAAATAATAGACATCTGAAACGTTTTACCTTTTAATATATTTATATAATATATATATATTTATAACAGGATTTTACAAATAAAGGCAACAACTGTATACCAAAAAAACCAAAAACCAACAACAAAATAAACATTAGAACACAATCTGCAATCAAGCATAGTGCATCTCAACAGCTGGTGCAATGGGAGGGCAAAATGAAAATCCATCCAACAGGGTTTCTGGACACGAGTTCTCAAAACCAATAAGGAAAAAAAACCCAGCACTGCATTTTGCAGCAAAGGGTTTTTTTTTTTAAATTAAATTTAAAAAAAAAACCAAAAACAAATTGGACATGATGTTCCTGTGCAGAGAAAGACCCTCACAGTTTAACGGGACAAGTGTCAACACCCTAACCCTCTTTCTTTAATACAGTAATGTGGGCCAGCGTTTAACAAGGAGAGTAAGGAATTTAGATGCTCAAACCTCGCCGGGATTAGACTCCTTTGAAAATCCCAGCCTTTTAATTTTTCAAAGGCACTGACAGGGGCATATTCAGCAGGCATCATGCTGTCGACTTCAGCTGAACTGCTCCCTCTTGCTCGAAGCTCTCGACTTGCCCCACGCAGGAAGCGGCTGCTCAGCGGCTGGGCCCCGCCAAAGGGACTCGTAAAACAACTTTGATTTCCAACAGGCCAGACCCAGCAGAACTGTACAGCAACAGTGAGAGAGAGGCCTGGAGTCAGGTGCAACAAGCAAAGTGATCCTTGGGATATTTTTCTCCCCTACCCGGCCCAAACTAGCAGCTCAAATTACAGGAAGGGGCGCGTGTTAATTTATTTATTAGATGTATGCCATGTAAAGCTTCCAAGCAGCATCTACCTTTTATTTCTTAAAAAAAAAAAAATTATATATATATATATATATATATATCAGCAAAGGTGTGGAGAGAAACCCGTCTTAAGTCTACCTGACTGTGCACGACCAAGCAGTGACCGCTGCTCTGCTCCTCCTCCGCTTTCGGCGGCGCTGCCACCAGCGCCACACCGTGCTGGTCGCTCAGATGCTGGCGGCTGATGGGCACTGAATCAGTTCAGCTCCAACTACTGGTGGGGCCGTCGCCTTAAAAGCCTTGATGAGAAGTACCATATTTTTATATTCACAGACCCTAAAACCAAGTCTGCCTAATGGAATATTTTTTTCACAGCTTTGCAACAGAGTCACAGCTGACCAAGTCAACCGTTGTTCTGCAGATGCAGAGAGGGAAGAAGGTAAGGGGTAAAGCACAAAACCCTTGCTGTTTTGTTGGGGGGTTTTTTTGGAAGTAGTTCTGATTTGCTAACCTGGGCACATCCTTCATCCTTCTCCAAACTACCTGACAAGTCAGAGAAAAGGGGATTTAGCTTCCTACATGCAGTGAACCTTATCCCCACACCTCAGTCCAGCCAATATATAAAAGTGAAATAGTCTCAAACTAAAAAAAAAAAAAGAAAAAAAAGAAAAAAAGAAAAAAAAAAAGTCACACTGCGCTTAGTCTTTGGTTTCCAAGTTCAAAGGAGGAATCTGCTTCAAAGCTTGAAGCAGAGCTGAGGAGTCGATAGGGGAATGGGCTGGGACGGGAGAAGGGAGTCTCTGGGGCATCAGCAGAGGCGGGGAGATTTTATCGGGGTTCATGAACCCCGTAAGTGCTGCGGCAGAGGCGGGGAGGCTGGGGTACAAGACAGGTACGGACGCCGGGTACCAGCACTTCTCCAGCATGGGCAGATAGGCTGTTGCGGATGGCGGGATCAAATAGAAAGGCAGGCACAGGGGGGGCTGGTGAGCGTGGGGGCCCAGGAAGCTGCTGGAAGAGCCCATCATGTCGCTGCCAAAAGGCCCATCGTCCTCCGGCGACTCCAGCCGGCTCCTTTTGGCCGGCGGGTCTTCAGTCTCTTGCTTAATAGAGCTTATTCTCTCCTGGACAGCATACTTGAGTTCAGTATCCTTTTTGAAATACTGCTGTTCGGATTTAGAGTCACTTTTCTCCAGCTCTCCCCCGTACCCGCTGTCCGTGTCTGTGTCGCTGCCGCTCTGCTCCCCACTGGAGTGAGCAAATGTCCTCTGGATCACAGGCACGCAGTTCTTCCCGTGTCCCTCCACAGCTTTGGCCAAGGAGACAGGTTTCTCTTTCAAGTCCACCATTTTAGGAGGGATGTCTCCAGACTTGCGGCCGGCTCCGCCCTGGAGCACCTCGGAGGCCATGCGGTGCAGATGGCTGACCAGCTGGGACGACTTCAGATCCTTCCCATTCTCGTGCTTTGCCAGGTATTGCAGCATTTCCTTGGCACACATCTGGAAACCGGATCGAAACATTTCCTGGCTGGAATCAAGGTTTCTTGATGACAGGTCACCTGAGGAAACATTAACAGAAAGAAATTAAAAATTAACAACGTGCTAAATAGTTCCATTACCATCTTTGAGGCAGACTGGCAGCAATATTAAACTTCAGTTACAGCACAGCTACAGAGCTGAACTCAGCGATCCACCTGAACTTTGCATACGTTCCCCCGATTTCTGCAGAAGAGAACATTTTTATTTGAACATCCGTCTGTCCACTCCTACCTAATAACTTTAAACTTATTTTTTTAGTTCTGCATTTACCGCATAGTCCCCCTTCAACAGGTGCTGAAGCACAGAGCAAAGGAGCGAGTCAAGCTGGTGCCTTCTCCGGGAAACACCCCAGGGAAGGTAGAGAGCACCTCGCCCTTCACCTACAGACAGAGCTCCCGGAGTGGAGCACGGCTGCCCGCCAGCAGCAATGCCAAGCCCGGGTGATTTTGCTTCGGCTTAAAGCTCTATTGCACTCCCTGTGGCTGCTGGAGCAGTGGAAGGCTCTTCAGAAAAACTAAATTTTACTTTATCAGATTCACGTGAGTGCCACATGCAAAAACAGAAGGAGGAAGTGCATCTAAAGCACGATAAGCTGAGACACCGGGTCCCCTCTTTGCCTGCAGAACACAGGCTAGCTTGTTTATAGAGAAACCTAAACCAGGTATGTCTAAAAAGCAAATTTACATCGTTTCAGAAAAAAAAAACCAACAACCCAAACAAACAAAACTGGGTTTGATCCAAATCTTAGAAACAGAAAGATCTGAATGGCTTTGGAGAAAACCTCACAGCAAACCTGGGCTTTAAATAAAACTATTTAAAATCCAATTTAATTCTAAGACAACTCCACGGGGCACTCTACACGGACCACACTGAAAAACGCATCTTTTTTTTTTTTTTTTTTTTTTTTTTTTTTTTTTTTTTTTTTTTTGCAAAAGCTCATAAGCAAAGCCAGAGAAAATGACAGCGATTAAAGGCAAGAACTCCTGCCTCCTCCTTCCTTGGGAACGAAGTGTCACAACTGCATTTCAAAGACTCCGCGAGAAAGTCCATCAAGCGCACGCAGGTTCTCACACGATATGATTTGAATACTCACCCGCTTGTAAACCATTCTGCAAAGCAATTATTTTTTGCTGCTGCTGCTCGATGAGGTTGGTGAGCGCTTTCACATGCTTCAAGGTGAGCTCGAGAACCACCGCCTTCTCCAGGTGACCTAGAGTCTGGGAGCAAAGGGACAGGTTGGCGCCTGCCGGGGGCTCGGCCACGCGCTGTCGGGGCTGCCGACGCTTTCCGAGGAACAGAGGAAGGACCGACGTGGCTTGGGGAAAAGGCTCAAAGGCATTGCCTCGATCCTGAGCACCACAGGGCTATAAATGACAGTATTCCGCAAAAAGAAGTTAAAAAGCAGGCTGCAAAGAGGCTCTCACGCAGTCCTGCGGGTAATTTCGGACCAGCCACATAGACCAGAGGGGAATATTTTATTTATCTGTTCTGCTGGCACCGTGACCTCAGCATGGGGGAACCCGACCGGCGGCTCCCCTCGGCCGGCACTGGGCGGGGGGGGGCACGGCCCCCCGGCAGCTCCCGAAGCCGCTGCAGGACACCCCCACACACACCTCCCAGCTCCCGGGAAAAGTTTGGGATGCGCTTCCACCGCGGGGCACGGCATTAAAAAATAAAAAAAAAAAAA